TCTATTGGAATTGGCAATTCAGTATCTCATAATCTTGTCGAATCTGTTGCACGCGCCGGAAAAGGCTACGCTCAGTACGTAACCATTAGTGAGCGCATGGATAAGAAAATTATAGGTATGCTAAAGAATGCCATTAAGCCTCCGGTTAAGGATTACAAGATTATCTGGGCGAGGAATGAATCCGAATACGATGATCTTGATGAAGAGTCAGAGACAAAACCAACAATCAGCGTCTTTGATCAAAATAATAATCCTCCTTCACAGGATCCCGTAGTTACAGATGTCAAAATTAAACAGGCACCTTTTGTTATTCCACCGATTTATTCTGGCGTTAGATTTATCGTTTATTGCATGCTAGCAAAAGGCGTTGTCCCAAATAAGGAGATCATGTTAACTGCACAATCTCCGGACGGACCTATGAAACTCAACATTCCTTTAGACCCAGTAGTGTTGCAAGGGTCAAAAATTCATACACTTGCCGCCAGGAAACTTATTCAAGATCTCGAGGACGGTGTCTCCTTTATTCAAAAGCATCCAAAGAACAAAGGAAAGTCAATCTCAGTTTCAGTTATAGAAGAACAAGTAGTTTATTTAGGAACAATATTCAATTTAGCATCGAAATATACGAGGTAATCATCAATTAATTGGCTTCACCCTACTAATAATTACAATGATTTAAACTTTGAACTTATTTTCGACCATACCATGCCTAGTTTCCTTGCAATTGATGAAAGTGATAATAAGTCAGTTGGAAAGCTGCTTCATCCTGAGAAGAGAGAAGTGCCTATACAACGATCATATTTTTCACTCCACAATTCTCAGCAATCAGCTTTATTAGCTTCCAGTGTGAGATGTACGTGAATCTATTTTTATGTATTTAACAGATAAATAGGCGATTTTTAATTTATTCGAATTCCATTAGCCAGCATTTCAGCTTATAGCGTGGGTACCCCCTTTCGAGGTTATAGAGTGGGTACCCCCTTTCGAGGTTATAGCGCGGATGAGGATAGCCCTTCCACCATAGGACCGACAGAGCCTATCAAGAGATCAAAGGTAGGGGCTTCACTCGGTGGATTGCTTTCTTCATCTGATAATACATCAGATGATGAAACTGTTGAAGAATCAATAAAAGGTCATGAACTCAAGCTCAACTTTAAAGAATCAAAAATTGAAGTATTGTACGAGTTTCTTAAATTTCAGTCCTTTAACGGTGAATTCAATAGTGCAGGCTTTTATCCGTGCTTCGATAAGAAGGAAGCTAAAGACTTTAAAGAGATTGGTATTGATAACGAAAAAATTCTGTGCACTGCATTAGCAATCGAATATTTGGAGGTAGTGATGTTTAGGCAATTTAAGGATGAGTGTGAGATGTGTTGGGAAAAAGCTAATAAAGCACTGAGAAAATTAGTTAATGAAAAGGAGTTTGACGATGTTTTGAAAAAAGCCAGAGATTGGATTTTAAAGTGGGTAGAAACAAATTAACATTACATGTTTGCTACAGCATTATAATATTATAATTGCTTTAGAATCGCTATAATTGCTTTAGAATCGCTCTTATTGTTCATACTGTTATATTATTATTACTTTATGAACACTTGATTTTCTGCCCACCTCATCCTACAAATCTTATTAAATAAAGAAAAAATTATTCTTGAGTTGATCAAACCCTAGAATTAGCTATTTTTGATAAGTTTCCAACGTCTGAACTTACCTTGACAGGGTCGATTGGTTGAGTACTTCCTTTTATAAGAAGTATCATGAATTAATAGCGGTCCTTCGAATATTTACGATGTTAGAGGATATTAATAAATGATTATTGATGATATCTAATTTTTTTTTTCGGAAATCACCAATATTCGTTTTTGATACCAATAGTATTATTGACTGCTTGTTTAATAAGGAATCGTATCGCCTCGTTATCTTTATGCTCTGAGGTTCCGAGAAAGAATACATATAAATATTTAACAACCATTTCATCAATTTCTGTCACTAGACAGTACTATATATGCATATTCTCTTTGTCATTTCATATCTGAGCGTCTGCACCTTTTT